GAAACCTCAGTATGAGTAATAGTAATAGTGATTCTTGACTTAGCAAACATCTTTAATATAATTTTAAATAATCTCATGAACTGCTTGCACTCATATGGATTTGTCCTGCAGTCAAACATAAGGAACTGATATCTTCGGCTCTGTCTTGAGAATAAACTCACACACACACTTCCCATTGTCCAGACTGGAACCGCAGGATGCTCTCTTTCTGGGAATAGAGAGTCTATGTTTCGTGTCTCTGTTCTGATGGGAAGTTTTGGACTCTTTTCATAGACTGTGATGTGTGGGTCGTGATTTATAGTCTTGGTCACAGAGATCAGCATGAGTTCTCAGCATCACCGCTGGAAGCACACAGATAATGCATGCGGTTTGATGTCAGTGGGACAGTCGCGCTTCCCAGTCGTCAGAGATGTCGTAGCAACGCGTTACCATGACGCGTATCTCTTAATAACAATATATTACATTGTCCTTGTTTTTTGAGTTTGATATTTATTAGAGGGCGAATTTCACAAGAAAATGTCATTTCAGGGGAAATGATAAGTAGTATTTTGAAGAAATTAACTGAATTATATTTTTTAGGTGGTTGCTAGAGTTTTTAAAATGTTTCTTGGGGTGTTGCTATGCCATTGCTAGGGTGTTTTAGATGGTTGCTAGTGCATTGCTAGGTGCAATTGCAATGCTGTTGCTGGAGTGTTTTAGGTGGTTGCTAGGGCGATGCTAGTTGCTTTTTATAGGGCATTGCAAAGCTGTTGCTAGGATGTTTTAGATGGTTGCTAGGGCATTGCTAGGTTGTTTCCTGGGCATTGCTATGCCATTGCTGGGGTGTTTTAAATGGTTGCTAGAGAATTGCTAGGTGGTCCTGGGCATTGCTGGGGTGTTTTAGATGTTTGCTAGGGCGTTGCTAGGTAGTTTCCAAAGGCTTTGTTATGCTGTTGCTAGGGTGTTTTAGATGTTTGCTAGGTGTTGCTATGCTGTTGATGTTTTTTTTAGATGGTTGCTAGGTAGTTTCCTGGGGCGTTGCTAGGCCATTGCTGGGGTGTTTTAAGTGGTTGCTAGGGCTTTACTAGGTGGATTCCTAGTGTGTTGCCATGCCATTTCTGGGGTGTTTTTAATGATTGCTAGGGAGTTGCTAGGTGGTTTCCTAGGGCGTTGCTATGCTGTTGCTGGCTTGTTCTGGTAGTTGCAAGGGTGTTGCCAGGTGGTTGCTAGAGTGTTCTGGGTGTTTCTTGGGTTTTTCGGCCTTTTTTCTTTAAGTTTGATATTTATTGGAGGGCAAATCTCATAACAACGTGTCATTTAAGAAGAAATTATTAATTATATTTTGCATAAATAAATTGAATTATATTTTCTAGATGGTTGCTAGAGTTTTTAAGATGTAATATTTAAATAATTATTATTTAAATAAAAAAATATTAAACAATTATTTTTGTAATATATTTAATGTATTATTTAAATAATAAATCATTGTTCTTTTTTACATTGCAATAGTCTACTTGAAAGTTTTCAGATCAGATGTGATCCCTCTGAATTGAATATTTCTGTGAAGATCCACATTTCCGACATGAAGGCAAGTAATTAATGACAATTCATATTTTTGGGGTGAACTATTTCTGTAATAATTTTTCTTATTGATTTGCTTCTTAGTGATATTACTGCATCAAAGGGTTAAATGGACAGAGCGAGGGAGATTTCGGCTGACAGAGAGACGGTGAGTATAATGCACCCAAACTGCAAAGAAGCAAAAACAGACAAAGTGAGGCAAATATTTGAAGAAGACTGGCACACAGGATGGGACGGGTATTAATAGGCTTTTATATGCGTATCCCTCTTTACCTCTAAAAAAAAAAGACGAGTGAAGAGGTAGAAGGGGATTAATGGGTTACAAACCTTACACAGACTCACGGAAAAAAGAAAGAACAATGACGTTAGACATTCAGTTCCATTACTGCAGTATTAATAGATACCAGTATTGAATCTCAATCATGTATGAATGATACTTACACATTTTAATGGCCAGTGTCTAGTTGTATATTTAACAAGGACTGCCAGGAAAGGTTTTTAAATGCTTCAGCTGCTGAGATCTTCAGAAGTGGCTCATGGACAGCAGGTAAAAACATTAAATGCAAATAATACTGTGTAACAAACACCCTCAGATCATCCAAGATGTAGATGAGTTTGTTTCTTCATCAGATTTGGAGAAATGTAGCAGTGCATCATTTGCTCACCAATGGATGTGAATGGGTGCCGTCAGAATGAGAGTCCAAACAGCTGATAAAAACATCACAATAATCCACAAGTAATCCACACCGCTCCAGTCCATCAGTTAATGCCTTGTGAAGACAACAGCTGCGTGTTTGTAAGAAACAAATCCATCATTTAGATGTTTTAACTTCAAACTGTTGCTTTCAGCTAAAATACGAGTCCATAATCCAATAATCAAACACCGTTTAAACAGCCTAAAACAGCTCTAAACAAATATGTGGCTGGATTTTGATGTGAGAGACAACAGGAGATGTACTTTTTCACTGGAGGAAGCTTTATTATGGATTATTGATTCATATTTTGTCCAGAAACGAAGTTTTAAAGTTAAAAGTGATGGATTTGTTTGCTACAAACACGCAGCTTTTGTCTTCTCCAGATGTTAACTGATGGACTGGAGTGCTGTGGATTACTTGTGGATTATTGTGATGTTTTTATCAGCTGTTTGGACTCTCATTCTGACGGCACCCATTCACTGCAGAGCATCCATTGCTGAGTTGTCTTCTCCAGATGTTAACTGATGGACTGGAGTGCTGTGGATTACTTGTGGATTATTGTGATGTTTTTATCAGCTGTTTGGACTCTCATTCTGACGGCACCCATTCACATCCAGTGGTGAGCAAGTGACGCAGTGCTACATTTCTCCAAATCTGATGAAGAAACAAACTCATCCTAATCTCGGATGGCCTGAGGATGAACACATTTTCAGCGAATTTGTGAACCATTACTTTAATATCAAAGATCATGCATCCAGTAAATCATGTTAATTTTTAAGGACTTTTTTAAATTCTGGGACTGTGTTGGGTCACTTGTCCAAAGTGAAATCTGTTCTGAAGCAAAACCAGCTGAGAAGCACAGATTTGCAGAACTGCTGCCCATCCAGTGCCATTAGCCGAATAAAGTGAGACAGTGAGAGTCACCAAATGATCCATAAAGTAAATGCAGCTCAGAGGAATCATTTGCCCGCCAGCATACAAACTTGTGCATTACACAGTGACGCATTTAGCACAGACAATTACCGCTCACATTTCTACTGACAATAAACAAATCTCAAATCTATTCATGCAATTTAGCTATATCGAACTTTTGTGCAAGCAAACCAGTCACATGCAACCTTACTTGTTTTATTTTGAATGCTTTTTCATTTAGTCTTAGTTCAGATGAATGAACATTTCACTGATTAAAGCTTTATTTCACATCGTCTTGATAAAGTTGAACAGTTGCGTATAAATAAACGTGACATTCAGGTCACCGTAACAAACTGGAGAGAATGTGGAGTTTTAGGACACTAATAACAAATCGGCCTTAGTTTATAAGTTCTTAGAAGCTTTTCTTGTTAGATCCCTTTGTCAGATATTGAAATGTGCTTCATGTGCACAAGTGCGCGTGATTGATTTACTGATCAGAAATCCTGTTTTCACTCCTTGAACATTTTGTTTTGTCTTCGTCTGAGACAGCGACGGCTCTTTCCAACAATATTTAATACAGGATTCCCACAATTTCTTTTGTTATGTTCAGCTCAAAAATATGTAATTGGCTTAATATTGCTCTTTTGTTCAGTAAAACGTCCTCACAGGTCATTACGATGTGTGGCTTGAGCAAATCATTCTTTTGAGCTGGTTATTTTAAATGCATTGTCCAAATGATTCACAAATTGGTCCGAATAATTCATTAATGAATCATTCTTTATTTGAAGGAAACTGAATTTTTTTAAAGTGCTTAGTCAACGTAAAAGACTGGAAAGGTCTTAAAAGTTCAAAAATGTGGGAAACTAGTTTTACTGTGTTTACAGCTTATTTTCAGCTGTAATTTAACTAACATATTTCAAAATTATTATGTAATATATGGTTTGTATTAGAATAATAATAAAATTTGAAATAATACTTCATTGTTTTTAACATAACAATGGGCTACTTAGAAGTTTTTTGTCTTGACACAATTAAAATAATATATTATTTTGTAATATATTGCATGTAAATAATATATCATTGCTTTTTAGATAACAGTGGGCTACTTAACAGTTTTTCACAGTGGTGAGAATTGTCACGAAAATGACGTCAATAATTAATTCATTTAATTTTAATAATTTTTTTGTATTTTAGAGTGAAAAGTGACCCAGACATGTTTTTGACACAATTTAAAATATGCATATAAGTTTTAATTATTTTTGCAATATATTGTATGTATGTATTCAAATAATTTATCTTTTTTATTTATTTATTGTGTTTTTGTGGTCTTTCACAATAATGGGAAATTGAAAGAAAATGTGCTTAATTGTCATGGAAATTATGTTCATAATACTTGCCATTAAAGCTATTTATTTCTATATACTTTTTAATAAATTTTAATTTGTTTAAAAAATAAAAAGATGAGCCGATCATGTTCCCAACAGGAGTTACAGTGTGAAAATATTTATGGTTCTGTACACTCTAAAAAATGCTGGGTTATATATAACTGCTGGCCAGCGCTGGGTTAAAAAGGGACAAACCCAGCTATTGGGTTGTTTTAACCCAGCGCTGGGTTATATTTAACCCAGCATTTTTTAGAGTGTACTCTATGGGAATGTGTCAACGCTGATCTTCACAAAAAGCTGACTTTAGGAGGGGTGTTTACTCTAGGGTCCGGTGGGTGGGCTTAGGGTTTGTCTGTACTCTAAACTATAGGACTGGGTTTGGCTGAAAATCTGAGGCGGGTTTAAAAGGCTTCGAGCAGAGCCACAGACAGTCGAGGAGAGACATTTGGAGATCTAGGTTGCACAGGCATTAGATCTTGATAATTAGAAATTGACGATTACTTGTTTGGAGACGCTTTAGGGCCGAAGTAACTCTAACGGTCTCCTTGGATAAGTCTGGGTCAAGGGCAAAATGGAGATAGTTTATGATTCAACCCTTGTGGGATTTAAATCTCCAACCTTTTGGTTACTAACACAGATAGTTAACTACTAGGTTTCAGCATCTCCAGTTATAGCGGAGCAGCGCGCAACGGGACACCGGCGTCTCCTTTTACGCACGTCGTTCGCGCGCATCTCAACGCGTTGGACTGCTGTTATTCTCGACGAATCTTGCAATGGGACACCTGGGCAACACGTCGCACCCGGTCAACTCCACTGACCCGTTCGGACGCGACGAAGAAGTCGCGAAAATCGAGATCGCGGTCCTCAGCGTCACCTTCGCGGTCGCCGTGATCGGGAACTGCAGCGTCCTGGTGGCCGTTCACAACACCAAGAAGAAAACCTCCCGCATGCATCTGTTCATCAAACACCTGAGCCTGGCTGACCTAGTGGTCGCGTTTTTCCAAGTCCTTCCACAGCTGTGCTGGAAAATAACCTTCCGTTTCTACGGACCGGACTTTCTGTGCAGGATCGTCAAGCACCTGCAGGTGATGGGCATGTTCGCGTCCACTTACATGATGGTTATGATGACTCTAGATCGCTATATCGCCATCTGCCACCCTCTCAAGACCCTCCAGCAGTCCACCCGGAGGTCCCACATCATGATCGCAGGCACGTGGGTCAGCAGTTTGCTCCTCAGCACCCCTCAGTACTTCATCTTCTCCCTCAGTGAGATCCAGAACGGCTCTGAGGTGTACGACTGCTGGGGTCACTTCATCCAGCCCTGGGGACTCCGCGCCTACATCACCTGGATCACAGCGGGGATTTTCCTCATCCCGGTGATCATATTATGTTCAGGATGTTTATAGGACAGCAGCTTTAATGAAGCTTACATTTAAAATGCAGTAACTGGCTGCTAATGGAAAGAAGTGCTAACGTGTTAAATATCGTCTCTCTGATATGCTTATAAAGATGGTTTGAGAAATGAAGTCATGAGACTAGAATAGTGTGTCTAAAGTGAACAGCTGCTGATTTATGATGTGTAAATCTGCCATTAAAATTCCACAGGAGCTTATGGGATGTTTAGTTAAACCAATTCACCCCATTTTCACATAGTAGTTTCAAGACAAATTACTTTAATCAAAACAAATGAATTATTAATTATTTTACACTAATATCTGGCAACACATTAGACTTATCGCCTTCTTTAGAATGACTGAAATAACCCAAATAAAAAAATATATATATATTTAATTTTTTATTGATAATTTTACCTGTATAAATAAATATTTGCCTCTTTTTGCTGAGAAAAACAAAAGACACCATGTAATATAATAATTTTTTATAAAACACATAGTTTTGGTCCTGGATGCTGATTGGCTGATATAGTGACTCTAGATTCTGATTTGATGATGCATGTTCTAAGCTGTTGATAAAATGTTACATTATACATTATACAGTATATTAACTACTATTGCTATGTTGCTTGCTTGCATAATAAAAATTATTTGTTTATTATATATAAATAATAAATAATATAGCATATTTATTTTTACTAATATCTGGCAACATAGTAACACCTGGTTAAAGATTACTAAAGCCCAACTAAGTAAAAAAAAAAAAATTATAAATAAATCTTTTATACTTTTTTTTTTTTAAATATATATATATGTTGATACATTTACCGGTATAAATACGTCTGGAGATCTTGTTTTTGATGAAAAAAAAAAAAAAGATACCTTATAATATCATTCCTTTTATAAACATCTTTTTATAGTTACACTGTATCTTGTTTTATAGTTTATAAGTTATAAACGTTTAGTTCCGATCCTGGATGCTGATTGGCCGGTACAGTGACTGTAGATTCTGATTGGATGACGGACGTTCTAAGCTGTTGATAAAATGTTGCATTCCATGTTAATCATTGTTCCTATGTTGCTTAGCAACCGTAAACAGCCAACGGTGAGACATAGAACTGTGTTACTTGGAGAAATAATTATTTATTGGACCGTTTCTTTATTTCAAGCATTTACAGCTATTGCTGATGTGTCTGTGTGTGTGTCTAGATTCGGAGAACACGGCCGTCACTCTGTCTGCGCTGCTGGCCAGTCTGAACAGCTGCTGTAACCCGTGGATCTACATGGTTTTCAGCGGACACCTCCTGCAGGATTTCGCTCACTGCTTCCCCTGCTGCCACAAGATCCGGCAGAGCTTCCGGAAGGAGGGATGACCTGCTACGGATTCATATGCCACAGCATCAGGATGAACATCAGATATAAGACCAAGAAGACGCCTGCGGATGGCGCGCACAAGAACGGGCTGATCGGGAAGAGCTCTGTGAGCAGCGTCACCACGATCTCCAGAGCGAAGTTACGCACAGTCAAGATGACTTTCGTCATTGTTCTCGCGTATATCATCTGCTGGGCGCCGTTTTTCACCGTGCAGATGTGGTCGGTGTGGGACAAGAACTTCAGCTGGGATGGTGAGTGAAAATGAGGGAAAGATTCACGTGCATGCCATGAAATTATGATTCAGGTATTAAATGTGCACATAGTAACACTTTTGAAATAGCCTTATCATTTAAATAAGATGTAGTAATTGCATAGTTAACTAACATTATATTATCATATTTAATGCTTAACATATTATTGTACACTAAAAATGTACATTTTCATATATTTCATACATATTCATATTTTTAATGTGTTTTAAATGTGCACACTGCATTTTATATATAAATCTCTTTGGACACTTTATAGCAAGTTTCATTTAATTATAGGCTATCATTAAGATAAATTATGTTTGTATAATGATTAGCAGTCTAATGCATATTCAAAGAAAATGTAATGTACTTTTGTCATATATTTCATGCATATTAATATTTGCTGTATTAAATATGCTGTGTAGCGCTTCATAATACTTCCATTTAATTTAAATATTTCATTATATCATTAACAAAAATTATGTTGTGTAATGCTTAAGAGATTAAGGTACATTAATCCATTTCAAGCATATGTAAATAAGTGTTCAATATATGCCGAGCAACATAAATATCATTAAATATGTTAGGTAGTACAATTTAAGATTTAAAATGTCATGCACTTCATTCATATTTCATATTTGCATTTATGTATTAACGTCGGATTGCACACTGTGCAAAGTAAAAATATGCGCAGGTTTCTTATTTCTACCTGATCGGACCCTAAAAATACTGTAATTTCTGTAATCAGGTTGATCTGGTCAATTTTTATTATTCAAATTATTTATCAAATGTAAATATAAAACCGATTGTAATCATGGGGCATCAATGTGGTAACAACATCTAAAATATCAATTGTCCCCTATACATTGATTTTTATACTGAATTGTTTATTAAATGTGCAAATACTTTATTGTATTGTATGTGTAATGAAATGGGTTTATATGATACCAGCATGCTCAGGATGTTTATTGGACGCTTTCAAAAGCACAGCAGCTTTGTTTAAATTTAAAACGCAACAAATGGCTGCAGAAGTGCTAACGTGTTAAATATAGTCTCTCTGATATAAAGATCATTTGAGAAATGAAGTCATGAGACCAGAATAGTGTGTCTAAACAGAACAGCTGCAGATTTAGGATGTGAAAATCTTCCATTAAAATTCCACACGAGCTTATGGGATGTTTAGTTAACCCAATTTCACCTCATTTTCACATGGTTACAAGACAAATTACTTTAATCAAAACAAATGGATTATTAGTTTAGTCATATATTATTTTACGCTAATATCTGGCAACACAGAAGGCTTAACACCTTGTTCAGAATGAATGAAAACCCAAATAAATTTGAAAAATCTTTTTTTTTTAAATTTAATCTGTAATTTTTATTGATAATTGTATCTGTATAAATAAATATGGATATCTATTGTCCTCTTTTTGCTGAAAAAAGACACCATTGTTTTTATAAAACATATTGTTCTGTATCTGGATGCTGATTAGCCGATACAGTGACTGTTGATTCTAAGACGCGTGTTGTGAAATTTTGACAATGTTTTTGCTTACTGTCTGCGCTGCTGGCCAGTCTGAACAGCTGCTGTAACCCGTGGATCTACATGGTTTTCAGCGGACACCTCCTGCAGGATTTCGCCCACTGCTTCCCCTGCTGCCACAAGATCCGGCAGAGCTTCCGGAAGGAGGATTCGGACAGCAGCATACGGAGAATCACGCTGCTCACCAAAATCACCAACCGCAGCCCCACGTGTAGCTCGGGCACCTGGAAAGAGTTCGATCACTCGCCCAAATGCAGCGGGTCGGCTCCGGCCGAGACGTGACGCACACACTGGGAATGTGACTTTATTGATCCGCACTTTGGTGAGACTCTCACAGCGGGGTTATAGACTCACAGTCCTGGATGCTGCTCGAGTTCCAGATGCGATAACACACACGATTACAGCTCAGGAGAGTTCATTCTGGTTCATTTAAGCGTCTTAAAACTAAAAACGGACTCAAATGAGTCACTTGTAGTCACCCAGGAAGAGTCTAGAGCTGTGAAATGAATGTGCAAAGCAGCTCAGATCGTTTGATGAGGAGTGATGGAGTTCAGATGGAGATCTCCGAGCACACTTTCAGACATTGTTCAGATTTTTTTTTGAAACTTTGGAGGTCTTTTTTGCTAAAGTCTCCATTTGATCTTCTCACTGAAGAATGCATTTTCTTAATAAAAGTAATAAGGACATATATATATATATATATATATAGTACTGGTCAAAAGTTCGTAATTAAGAAGTCTCTTCTGCTCATCAAGGCTGCATTTATTTGATCAAAAATGCAGGACAAATGGTGAATTATTATTACAATTAAAAATAACTCGATTATATTGTAAAGTATCATTTGTTTCTGTGATGCGCAGCTGTATTTTCAGCATCATTACTCCAGTCTTCAGTGTCACATGATCTTCAGAAATCATTCTAATATGCTGATTTGCTGCTCAAGAAACATTTCTGATTATTATCAATGTTGAAAACAGTTGTGCTGCTGAATAGTTTTGTGGAAAGTGTGATACACTGCCATTTTTAGCCAAAATTAATACTTTTATTTAGCAAGGATGAATTAAATTCATCAAAAGTGACAGTAAAGAAGGTTTTCACAAAATAAGTTTTCATCATATAATAATCAGAAATGTCAGAAAATCAGAAACTGAAGACTGGAGTAATGATGCTGAAAATTCAGCTTTGCATCACAGAAATAAATTACAGTTTAATATATATTCACATAGAAAACAGCTGTTTTAAATTAGAATAATATTTCATAATTTTACTGTATTTCTGACCAAATAAATGCAGCCTTGGTGAGCAGAAGAGACTTCTTTCAGAAAACTTTAAAAAAAATCTTCCAAACTTTTGACCTGTAGTGCACTTTTTAAAAAGAAAAAAAAAAAGTCCTGGAAATTGTATCATGTAGAAACATAATTATATTGCGAATATATTCACGCGGCTGCTCGTCATGCTTCTCAACCTCTCGTCCCGTATTGCTCATATAGATCAATTGTCCGTTAAGGAAACAGTGGGAACATGGAGACCGCAGTAAATCTCTTTAGGGACACTGGCACAATGAGTCCAGCGAGGCATTTCCTGCGATAAGCGTCTACTTAAGAGACCCTCGTGCCAAAGTAAACCAGACACCTGCAGCCAGGGACAAAACCGAGAGCGAGCGTGTGGATTTCACACAGGGCTGGTCGCTGCAAACAAAATATATCAGTTTCCAGACAATTAATGAATGTTGCACTATATAAAACATAGGAAACGCTCTGCTTTATGAAATATTAGCCTCACTTTGGTGGCATGAGATTTGTCGTATAAATGAATGTTTTCACATGGCCAGTCACGTCTTTACTGGTCATTAGTCTGGGTCGGACTCTTTTCAGGTGTTTTAATGTACATATACTGAGAAATTCTAGCAGTTAAGGCTGTTTATGTATATATTACAGTTGTAAATAAACGCACAGCTGTAACAGGAGATCTTTATATTAACAGATGGTCTATATTTGTTTGTATGTGTTAAGGTTTTTTTTTTTAAAGAAAGTACTGAAATGTTCAGCTATGACAGCCCGTTTCTGGCATGGAAAAAAAAAAAATATATATATATATATATATATTAAGAAACAAACTCGCAATTCAGAATTTTTTTTTTCCCTTGTAGTTCTGTGTTTATATCTCACAATTCCAACTTAATTCTTGCAACTCTGCATTTATGTCTCACAATTATGATTTTATTCCTCGGAATTCTGAGTTTAAATCTCACAATTCTCACTTTTTCTCATAATTCTGAGTTTATCTTGGAATTCTGACTTTTTTGTTCCCACCACAGAATAAAAAAAATATTAAAAAGATAATGGTGAGTTTATATCTTGCAGTTTTTTTTATAGCAGTTTTTTTTTTTTTTTCAGAATTGCAAGAAAAAAACTCCTTAAAAAGTCCAAATTGTGAGATAAAAAGTCACAACTAACTTTTTTTTTTAAATCCCGTGGCAGAAACAGGCTTCCAAGCTTCAGCATTGTTCACTGCCAACTTTAAATGTGTTGCACCTCTCACAAATGTGTCAGTGTATATCCATGTGCCAAATTCAATAAATCAAACCTTCAAGAAATATTAGTTCTGGATCTGTGGTGACAAATGTGTTTTTAGCAACCGAGCCGTTTCTAGCACCATCTGCCATTCAAATGCAACTTTATACGACATAAACGACTGCAAGTTTAACTTTTTATTAGCTTTTTTCATATTGTTTGGAATAACCACAAGTAGCCTGACTGAAATGCTTTGGGGAAGCAACTAACCAGCTGTCTAACCGATAGATCTTGTTCCAGTGTTGGTAGTTTAGTGAAAGATCGAGTGTGTTCCATTAGCACCAAACAGAGTGGACATATCAGTCTGTTTTTTCTCTGCACTTTATCACAAAATGTGCAAAATGCTACGGCAGATACTTCATCACAAGTTGCACAATGCAAATTGCCTAGTAGGATCCTTTCCAAACATCCCATAATAGCTTGAGAGTTTCCTGTTTGTTTCCTGTTTGACTTTGAGGACACACGTCCTTTCCTGCATTAACCAACCCTCTCCTCTCTTTGTGTCTCATTTGTTTTTCCTCATTGTATCAACCTCGTACCAGACAGAACCTGCCAGAAGTTGAGTAAAGCCAGTCAGATTAGAGCTTGCCAAATCGAAAAAGCACCGTCCAGTTCTGCAGTTTAGCTCAAGGACTGAGATGCTGAAACTAACAAGCACTCATAACCAATCTGAAACCATCAATCCTGACCAGTGGAAACCAGCACGCTGCCTGAGGCCGGTTTAATCGGTTTTCTTCAGCAGGGTTATTTAGTTGTTCACTGGGTTTGTCAAACAAGGTTTCAAAGCAAACCAGAGTTCGGTTAATAGTCCTTGTGTTTCCTACAGAAAGTGTTGGGGGTATAACGCATTACAAGTAACGTGAGTTACGTAATCAGATTACTTTTGTAATAGCAATCCATTTAAATTTTCATCTTTCTTGCTTCTTCATGTGTGAGCGTGATTTGAACTTGAATAACATTCCGTAGTCC